AGTCTCACTGTTGGGGAGTAGGAGACTGGAGGACTCCTGGAGCTGGCTGGCTAATAACCTGAATCCGTGAGCTCCAGATGCACAGACAGATGGTGTCTCAGAGCATAAGGTGGAGAGAAATTGAGGGAGACACCTCCAAAGCATGTACATAGGTGTATGTGTAACCTCCCAAACATGGATACACACAGACATGCATATACCTAAATTATACATACATACATACACACATATACATACATAAGAAAGAAAACCATTTTGCAAGAGCGTTCAAAATTCTAAACACAAATTTGAAAGATTCTAATAATAAAAGATGTAAAAAATCTAGCAAAATGATTCAGTCTGCAAATGACCCGAGTGTGATCCCTGGATCTCACATAGAGAAAGGAGAGAAATGACTCCTGCAAGTTGTTCTCTGAGCTCCACACAGACACCGTGGTACCCACGGGTACACACCAAGTAAATAGTACATAATTGCAAGCTAAAGCTGATTAAAATTACTTCCGCTTCCTATGTTAGAGTATAGCATATAATATCATCTACAAGGAAATGAAGTGGAATAAAATGACAGACTGATATGGGAAATGGTGAATTACACTTAAGTCAATAAGGGTGCTGGGCTTCTTTACTTTCTTTCAATCAAGGATCCCCTGCTGCAAACACTTGAATGGGGATGTTCAGAGTTTTCTTAGGTTTGTTGTATTTGACAAGCAAAATCCTTTACTATTTGTTTCATTGTCCGGCCGATCTCTCCCTCTGTGCAATGGTATCTATTCTCCTTTCTGTGCTGGAAGGGAGGGCAAGGTTCAGCAGAACTAGTTGGAAGCAGAATGACAAGTTTGGTCTGAGGAGCATAACACTGAAGCTAAACTGTTTAGAATACTCCAAGATAAAATAAAAGGTTCAAAACAATCATAAGAACGAATGCTTACTTTTGTAAGCTTCGAGGGGAAAATGTTTAACTAAGATTGGAATTGAATGAGTGGAAGAGAGATTTGGTTATCTTCACCAGCTACCCTCTTTTCCACGAGTTCCATCTAAAGGTGGAGCAATGTAGAATCATCTTAAATTTTCATTTCTTCCCCCAGAGAGGCCAAGTCGCTAGCAGGAGATGCAAGCATGTTCACTATACAGGAGCCCTGTGTGCTATGGGTTTGGAGCAAAGTCTGCTATAGATTATGGGAAAATATATTTTACCTTAAGAGAAGGAAACTATTGCTCACCTAAAATAAACACTAATTTTATTTCCTATGCATTTTGGCAATAATATATAGAAAGGTAGACATGATACCTAATGCACATTCTCAAAAAAAAATAGACAAATTGGACTGGTACGATACTTGTCCATGAGATACATAGCAAAGTCAGCTTACCATCATTTAATAAATATATGGCTTTTCTTTTCTGTAGCTTTGAGAATTGTTTTTTGAGTTTCATTCCTGTATTCACAGGTTAAAAGTCATTCATTACCATTGAAATACTATTCCTACATGTATCACTTTAGTGCCGTTCACCTTCTGACTCAGAAATAATGCTTATTTAATTAGTTATAAAAGTGATTGAAAAAAAAAACAACAGAGCTACAATGGTCCATTGTCAGTAGTTCGAATTCAATTATTGTGGTATTTCAATTTATACTTTGGTTAGCTCAAAAGTCATGAATAGCTCTCCATAAAATCAACCTGGAAAAAAAATCTTGCTACATTTGCTTAATTATTCTTAAACAAATATCAAAATTACTTTATGGGCATTTAAAATAATTTTCAAGAAACCTAAAAGAACAAACTAATATTTTTTCTAACTTTTGAAAATGTGATTAAAGAAGATAAGTTGCAAATTAGTCACTGAGAAAATATTTTGTATAATATATATCAACGTATGAAATATTCATAATATTTGTGTTATGAATAACAGCATGCATGATTAAGTTTTGGCATTCTATCTAAATATTTTTCACACATACATACATGTATGTGATATAAGTAGTTATAAATAACAGCACTATGATGAAATGGGATTTCAGAAGGAACACTGAAATAGAACTCTATCACACTTTACACTAAGATGTTCTTGGAATAAGGATCCAAAAATGAGGAGGATTGAAATATCTTCCCCACCCAAGAGACTCAGACTTTTGTAAAATGATTTTAATGATTAATCTACATAAATTCAATGTTTAATGATCATTCTGTTTTCAACTTGAATTTATGCTTCAATGAACAAACTCTCTGATATCCTGTAATTACTACAGAAATTATGATCTCATATCTGACTGAGTGACTCTTTATCAGTCCTTGAGCTATAATGACTTGTACACAGCTAGGCTAAATGATCATGCATGCATGCATGCATCCATCCATTCATTCATTCATTTAGCTAAGTGTTTCCCTGGCACCAGGTTTGGAGATAGCCACTAAGGATTAAGACTTATAAAGAAACAGTGTCAATGTAGATGGAAGTTTCTGTCCTGCCTGGTCCAAGAGCCCTTTAGTCCCAAAGAAACACATAGAGGCTTATATTAATTATAAACTCTTTGGTCTATTAGCTCAAGCTTATTATTAAGTAGCTTTTACAACTTAAATTAACCTTTAATTTTTGTCTGTGTTTAGCCATGTGGTTTAGTACCTTTTCCCAGTTAGGCATTCTCATCTTGCTTCCCACGTATCTGGCTGGGGACTGACTCTGCCTTTCCTCTTCCCAGAATTCTCTTAATCTGGTTGCCCTGCCTGTACTTCCTGCCTGGCCAATCAGTGTTTTATTAAACCAATACAAGTGGCTAATCTTTACAATGTACAAGAGCATTTATCCCACAGCCGTGTCCAACCCACATAAACTACCTGCCAGCTAGTATTCTGAATTCGCATTCAAATATTCAAATTTTATCTTCAAAAAAGAAATTAGACTAAACAAATTCACCTTTGTGCTCATGCATCAAAATGTTCTGCTCTGAGGTCATCTCATTTGTGTGTGAATATTTGCAGACTGTTAGAAATAGATACAAAAAGGATAGCTGTAAATTTAAGCAAATAATTTCGTTTATTAGGACTTAACAGACTAGTGCCTGAGGATATCAAAAGAGACTAATTAACATTGATGTGATGTAATTAACGTTGATGTAATCAACATCGTTATTTCAGTTGACATCCTCATTTCATGTGCTGTTGGGGGAAGATGATATAATAACCAAAGAAATGTTGGTTGGAAATACCAGGGCCCTAAATCATTTGGCAGGGTTGTCATTTACCCTGAACTGTAGCAGATCATGTTGTCATCATGACTCCATTGTATAGTAAGGAACCCACACATCCACTGACTACCCTGTATCAAATTTGTTTATCTCTAATGTACGATTTCCACTTCCAGATCATTTGTTATATATTAAGTTTGGTGAAAAACATTTGCATTGATCATTAAGATGATGTGATGAGGCCTCTTGGTTCTTTAAGTTGAGGGGTGAAACCCACCCCCAGACTTCACCTCCAGTCCTTTGTGCACTGTATCATCAGAGGGACTGCACGTACTACCATGTGTGTAGGATGTACCCATGCTGTTTGAGGACTGTGGTGTCATGGGCAAATCTATAGTTATAGAAGTCAAAATAATCACTGAGGGATGCTTTCCTCATCCTAAAAGAAAATCCCCTTCTGTACTCCACTTTTACCAACAGGATAGCATCATTTTATAAATCTTGTGCAGTGTAGCTGGCACCAGCCGAGCTTTTCTCCTCGCGCCTGCTCATCCGCTTTGGTCTAATGTATGGACAAAGGTTGAAGAGAGGATGCTTCTCATTCTGACTTGAATGAGACACTTAAGCCTTTCCTTTGTCACCAAAGTGCTGGTCACCCATTTTAGAACACAGCCAGTATAAGATGGCTTCCTCTGTCTGTGATATCAGAAACCAAGCAGAGGCAGGAACTCTAGAAGTCATGAGGCAGCCATTCTTAACCCAGAGATAAACACTTCAGCATGTTCTCTGTGATGATCCCAAGCCCCAACTCATTCGTGGAGTTTAGGGTGATTGCAGTGCCAATCACAGGGAGAGCACCCCTAATAATTAAGAAGTTTTGCAAAATCAATTGGCCAGTCAATAGTAGGCAACTACTTAGAGCCTTTCCTTCACACCAATCAGCTAATCAGTTGTTTAAATATCATCAGCTTTTCTTAATTACTGACCTGATTTAGAAGACATAGACCAGAAGGTTGGGAGCTAAAGAAGCTAGCTTCCAGAGCATTCGTTATTGGGGAGAAGAGAAATAGTGTTATTTAAACAAAGCCTCAGAGTAGACCCCAAGGATCCTCAGCATGTGCTAAGAGGCAGTCACTATGTGTGGATGGAAGGATGGATTCTGTGTTTTAAGCATGAATATTTAGCTGAGCCTGGTGGTACAACCTGTAATTCCACCCACTAGGGGACTGAGGCAGCAGGCCATTGGCTCAAGATCAGCTTGAGTTACAAAGAGAGTTCAAGGCCAGTCTCTGCAACTTGGTGAGACCAGGTCTCAAAATTAAAAGGATAAAGAGGGCTGGGGATACAGCTCAGAGTTAAAGCCTTTCCTAGAGCCTCTAGAATCAATCCCCAAATTCCAGAAGATACAAACATTAAAAGTAAGTTCATATTTGCTTGAGGCTACACATGGGGAAATTATATGTGTTCAGGAGTCACCAAAAGTCAAAACACCTAAGAAAAATATTGAAGCCCTGTATGTGTTGGGAGCTTTCACTGGTTTCTATATGTTCGTCCCTGGAGATGGGCATGCAGTAAGCAAGATTCTGAACTGGAAATAATAAAAGGTATTGTAACCCACATGTAAAAGTGACAAGTTATGACCTACCTGTGCATTTTCAGCAATGCAAATTTCACAGCCAAGAATAAACCCATCTCCTCTCTCTCCTTTCTCTCTTTTAAGTTAAATGCCACTTTGGGGGAAAAACACACGAAGAACTAAGTTTAATCAGATGGGAAAAATAGTTTTTTTTATTGCTATGTTTTACTTTGCTGGCAGACCAGAGCAAAGGTTTTGTGAACATTTAAAAGATGAAAAAAGTGAAGAATCCCAGAAGCGGTTTATCTTGAAGCGAGATAACTCTAGTATTGATAAAGAAGACAATCAGGTTGGTTCTCAAGTTTGAGAGTGGCTGACGTTGTTGTTTTTGAAGGTGGGCTGACTGATGTTCTTGTTGTACCTCTGTTGTCCCCTCCTGCTTCCCAGCTACCCCCTCCTGCCTCTGACAACCGCTGCTGCCCTCTCTCCAATCCCTTGGCCTCCATTGCCTCCCCCTCTGGCATTCAGTGGGTAGCCACATGGTGTTGCCTCAGTTGCTTAGCAGTGGCTCTGTGTTGGGCTGCATGGGTGGTGCTTGGCGCAGTCTTTGCTGCATGTTGTGGTGGGGGTCGGGATGCCGCAGGCTCCGAGCTGTGGGGATAAGCTTGTCAGCTGCATTTCCAGATGTCTGTGTAACTCTGCCAGTCGCTCCACTCCCTACAGCTCTGTCCTTCCTTCCGTTGTGCACAATTTGAGCTGGATTATCAATGAGGACCGATGAGCCACCGGTGTAGCTGTAAAGAACATACCTTGTTATGGTGAGGACAGGAGGATTTTGCAACTATCCTAAAAATAAGTCTTCACAGAAAAGCATCGAGTTTACATTCTAGCCCCCCACCCTTCTTCTTGTGTTTTATGGTCTATGTAATGTGTTTGCTCGTTTGCATGAAGTGTAGCAGAAACTGATCCCTGTGTATTTTGCCTGTGACAAAACACTATGTCATTCTAGAACATGGTCCTTGAGCAAAGGTAAAGAGACCTCACTGAATCTCTTCTCTGCGTGGGCAGGAGGGAGGGAGGTTACAAGCAAGAAGACTAAGTAAATGACAAAACCAAAAAAAAAAGAAAAAAGAAAAAAAATAATGACAGAACATCAGAAAGTCAGGAGACTGCCCTGACAATTGTACTTATTGTCTGATAATCCAAATAGATATTTTTGAAACATGCCTTTTATTTAAAGTTTATAAAGGTAAGACAATATGTATCTCACTCAAGGTCTCGTATTAATTACTCAGGTGAGTCATCCTGAGCCTGCGTGTGCATCTCTGAACATATGTTTTCTTTGTTAAAAAAAAAAAGAAAGAAAAAGAAAAAGTCTATTTCTCATTGTACCTCCTTGTCTCCCACCACTGCTGCCCCAGCCCTGAGCTGCACCGGGACTCTTGTTGACTCCAAAACATGCCTGTGTTGTGTACTCCATGGGTGTCTGGTGAGCGTATGAATGAATGCGCTTAGTTCAGAATGGCGAGTAGGTGGGAGGGCAGCTGAGATGCAGGGAGTGGGTCAGAGAGGATGAGGACTTGCAGTTCTCATGCTGGGTCCTTTGGACTGCCTCTTTAGCTGTCTTTGCACCGCCATTGGCCGTTATCAACACACAGGGTTTCTAAACAGAGTTTATGCCCCCATACAATTCACAGGGCCAGCCACTGGGCCAACAATGAGGCCTTAGGAACCAGAGACTATCCACAAGTTCTTTTCAGACTCCCACTTTCTCTGCTTTTTTGTTCTTTCTTGAGATCCCAAATGTGCACAGTCACTTCCTACCTCAGACACCCTGAACTCACTCTTCACTCTTTCCCGTCAACAGTTTGCCTCCTGTTGGGGTCAGGCACACTCAAAAAAGGGGGAAAAGACTATCCCTGGCCATCCAACCTCTGGACCAATTCCCAAGGCATAAGCAAGGCTACTTGTTTTTTAAATATTTATTCTACTTTGCTCCATAGAAGACGGACTAGGAGTAGCAATCTTTCTTATGTCAGCATGTCATACACAGATATACATACCCACACACATACACATACATGAACATAGATGCATACACACATGCAACCACACATAAACACATAGATAAACACACATATACACATCACACTCGCACATACATATGTCCACACACACATGCACATCCACACACAGAGATCACACACAGATGCACAAACTTACATACTCATACATATCACACACACATACACATATAGCACACACAGAGATATACACACATACCTGCACATATATACACCACACACACATGAATGCACACACAAGCATAAACATACACATGCATACACACACATATCACACACAGAGATAAACATGCATACTTAAGTTCATATCCCCCAGCCTAGCCTCCTCAGGGAGCAGGGGGGTGGGGCTTGTCAGGCTCCAGTTATCTAAATGAGCATTTATTATTCTCAGTTGACAGTTGCTTAACAGCTCAACATGGATAACCCTCCTGATTTCTTTTCTCTGTTCAGCAAAACAGAATGCATCCATTTAGAGATGACAGACGAAGTAAATCAATTGAAGAGAGAGAAGAGGAATATCAGAGAGTGAGGGAGAGAATATTTGCACACGATGTGAGTAGTTGTTTTAATTGCCTCTTGAGTACGGGTCCTTCCATCAGCAGAAAGGCCCCTCCTTTCTCAGAGAGAGCTGGCAGGGAGGACAGAGGCCGGGACCAAAAGCGAGTCACAAAGCAGAAAACAGCAATGTTTCCGGGAAAGAACCTGGCTCAGGGTTGTGGTGCAAACAGACAAAGAGTCTGCGTGTGCTCTCAGGGATAGAGATATGATCTGGGTCACTAAAAGAGACAGTCAGTATAGAAAGGGTTGTTAGGTTCCGAAATCCCTTTACATCCATAGTAGGTAACAGACCACTTATTGGTGAATTAAAAAACAACAACAACAACATTAGGGACACAGACATGACCCAGTGAGTAAAATGCTTCCTGTGTAAATAGAAGAACCTGAGTTTGGATCCCAGCACCCTGTAGAAGGCAGTCGTGGAGGCAGGCTTCCAGAACACAAGCGCTAGGGAGGCAGAAACAGGCAGAGCCCGAGAGCTCATTGGCCAGGCAGTCTAGTCCACTTGTAAGCTCCTGATTCACTGAGAGACCCTGACTACAAACAACAAGGTAGAGAGCAGTACAAGAACATATGAGTACCCAGACATACACATGTGCAAATACTGCACACACATGCTTGCACAGATGCATGTGCACATGTGCACATGAGCACACACCAAGTACCTTCTGAATTCTTAGCAAATATGAACACTTCCTCATACCAAAGCTAGATGATAATATTTGGTTCCATTCTTGATTTCAGATCAAATCAAATCTGTGAACAATTTGTTAAAGCAATAATCACAACAATCACAGAAAACCACCTTTTAGTTCAAAACCAAACAAAGAAAATGTGGTTGTGATTTAAAAATAAGTTTTTACCCATTATGCTCAAGACCAAATGTAATTAAGTTAGATAAAAATGAAAATATGAAAATTAAAACTGGATTTACAAACAAGTGAAAACACCGAGAAATTTCCACAGCTTTCTATTTTATGGAGTCCTTGGGAACTTCCTTAGTTGTTAGGGAGCCTGATCTCTGCAACCTGTGGAGGACGCTTCAGTGTGGTCCTCTGTGGACAACACTTCCAGCATGCTCAGTCAGACCAAATCTCTGTTATTGTGGCTTGCTGCTGGAGGGCACACCAAGCTGAGAGGCAACCCATTTGCTTCTGAAGCCCTTCACAGAGACAGCTTCTCCAGAATGTTGATTTGTCTTCTAGTCTTTACCCCCCTTCTATTTTGTATGTGTACTTACCTACATACGGGCAATTTCCCCTGATGCTCTGCTCCTAACAAGTCAAATGTTTTAGGAATGTGTCAATAGATTGAGATACAAATGTCCATCACACAGACAGGGTATTTTGTTATTATCTTTTTAAAGTTAGGCCCATTGTTGGAGCTGGGTTCCAGGAAACACTGCCTCAGATGCCTGTCTGGAATAGGAATGGAATCCATGATTCTTACCCCCAGGAAGATGGCCACAGGGAGAAGGGGCATACAAGGCTTCCCTTCTCTGGAGACAGAGGTCCCAGGAAAAGCACTTGAGGCACTTTTGACCATGATAAGCTTCACTGGCCACAGGGAGGAATGACATCTTTTCAACTGAAAAGCAGATCTAAGAGTGACAGAACTCAGGTGCCAAGCTATTGCCAGTCCCTCACTAACCCCTGACCCGTTAGGTTTGGCTGAGGAACTGCCAACTGTTTATAAATTCACTCATGTGGCGACTTGCAGGCCACCCTTGTGAATTGGGACCAGTCTATAGTTGGCAATTTTTTTTAAAGAGAGCTTCCCTGGATGGAGACCATGACATGTCTCCAGAAATGGCAGCTCATTTCCCCCCACAGAATGTGATTTATGAGAGAAATGGAAGCAATGTTCTTTTAGGATGTGGCCTTGGAGGTGCCCGTTTCCCCTCCCACTATACAGAATAACCCCAGAACAATGTGGGGAGGCTGTGTTAATGAGGAAGAAGGCAAGAGGTGACTCAGGAGTAAGGAGATGTTACCACAGCATCTATCAGCTCAAAATTTCAAGGATGGAACATGGCCACCTGAACTTTCTTGAACACACATGCACCTTAGCACATCTTCCTCACCACTTGCACGGTGACAGCCTGCATCATGGGGCATTCATTGATCTATGCACGTGCAGTTCCCTAGCTGGTTGACCTTATCACCGCTCAGAATGTTGATTAATATTCACCATGAAAAGACCATTTTCCACAAAATAATAGTTACTTTACAGTAAGTCAACTATTAAGCCAATACAAAGGATCCAGCATAAGGACCCTGTATTTTATAAATGAAATCTTTATTCTAACTATTCTTTGATTTTATTTTCTCATAATTAAAAAAAAACAGAATGAACAAAGCCAGTTTTGCTCAACAATTATTTTTTAAATGGTGGCTATTCAAATATTGAGTATGAGTATATCTTTCCCTACCTGAGCTAACACTAGAGAATTTGGACATCTCATTTACACTTTAGCAAGACTCAAGTTTATTTTAAAGTTAGAAATACTCTCGAGTGTTATGGGGAAGCATCTTGGTGCCTCAGATGTGAGTGTATGTGTTTGAGAAGCAGTGCGCATGTGTGCCTGTATGTGTCTTTATATATGCAGCCACATGAATAAAATAGGCATGTTGCCTTGGAGATATGCTAGAAACAATTTCAAATATGGTTTTCAAAGTTTGGTGGTCTTGAGATAAGACTGCTATCTGAGAGCCAAAAAGTTGTAAGTGTACAGACAAATTTAGCTCTCAAATAATAAAGCAGTAAATCTCTATTCTCAGTCATATTTGAAAAAAATAATTATTTCTTCGGTGACAATTTAATCTCATTTTCTGGTCCTTTTCCCCTGACGTTACTAACCTTGGGAAGACTTGTTAACAAGGCAGGATATTGAGAAAGGCTGTCTTGCCTGGAAGGTATTTTTTGAGGACGTCTGTGTGTTGATGGAGCTCCCAGAAGGCTCCTGGTGACCCTCTAGAAAGTGTGGGGTCTGTCCTCTGAGAGCTGCAGAGAGGGCACAGGCTGTGAACACAGTGGGGGTGGGATGTGGGGGAGAATTCTAATCCATTAAGCAAAACCATTTTCTTCTTTGGAAAAAGAAAGAGCCTTTTAAATATTCGGGTGTGCACGTAAGTGACAGCTTTAAATGTTGCACTTAATTACCGTGACACTTTCATCTTTCTCTGCCATTAAATGTGCAAGTTATTAATACTCCCTTTGCCAAAGTTTATTTCCACCAGCTACTGAGTCACAGCCTGTAGCTGTCTCACTTAGGAGAGTGTGGGGACCCCCGGGAGGATCTTTCCAAACACTCAGATGCATACTTTTGAAGGATGTTTATTGGGGATGAGTATCTTTGATTTGTTGGTGTCTTGATTTTTCATTCAAAGAATTGAAGCTGTTTAATCTCTCCTCCCCAAACGGTTTGTGGTTAAGATGTCAGAATGTCTTTGATCAACTTCCTCAAATAGGTTGAATCTCCACTTTTCAGGGCCTGGTGGTAACATTATGAAGCACACTGACTTCTTCCCAACCATTGAGGAGACACCATGTCTAAACAGAACCTTTGGCTTAGTAGAAAGAAATGATTTCACTGTCAGAATGAACGTGGAGAATAGTACCTGGCTTGCCTCTCTGAGAGCTGGTTTCATGAACTGCAAGTTTAATGTGAAGAATTGCTAATAGGGGCTGGGTTGATGCCTCAGTTGGCAAAGTACAGGGGCATGAGTTTGACCCCCCAAATTCAACCAAGAAACTCTAAGGCATGCTGTCACATGCTTATAATTCCCATAGGGAGGCAGAAACAGGTGGATTCCAGGGTCCCTGGCCAACAAGCCTAGATTTCTTGGTGAGTTCTAAGTCAGTGGGAGACCCTATTTCATAAAAGCAAGGTGGAGATCTGTGAGATGGCTCACCAGGTACAGGCGGTTGTCACCAAGCCTGACAACCTGAGCACAATCCCCAAATACACACCTGAAGAAAGGAAAGAACTGACTCCTGCTGGTTGTCTTCTGAGCTCCACACATGCACCTTGACATGCACACATACACACATGTTCACACCAAACACACACACACACACACACAATACAAAATAGTTTTTAAGCAACCAGCCAAGCAAATAAAACATTGACAGCCCCTGAGGAACAACACCTGAACTTGTCATCTGACTTCACACATACACATACATATGTGCACATACATACATACATACACATACACATATATGTGCACGAACATACATGTGCACACATACGCATACATATGTGCACAGACACACATGTGCACACATACATATGTGCACAGACATACATGAATATGTGCACACTTGCACAAAGAACTGCCAAAGAGTCACTGCTATTTCTGTAGAGTAATGGACCCGCTAGGTTCCTATTCATCCCTTTTGTAAGTCACTTACTTATTTTGAAATCTGTACACGGAAAATGATGCATAAATAGGTAGATAGATAAACACCTAACATTGAAAATAGTTCCTATTATTTCCCAGGCACAGTGTGCAGTGTGCTGTTACATGAGCACATCTCTGCTTTACATAGATTTCCCTTTTCCTTTGTTTAAATTTAGCCAGATTCATCTTTTCTCGGATATCATCTAGATAATGATGGTAGAATTTTATCTTCCCTAGAGTTAGTTCAGTAAAGGAAGCAAAACAAGAAAGCTGTTGGCTTTCTCTGTGAAAAGCCAGAGAAAAAACACTTGATAGCATTTTTTAAATTAGTTTCAATTGGCCAAGGCTTGTCTTCTGTCCTGCCCCTCCCTTTCATTCAGATTAATAATTGATGACATTTCTTCAATTTAGAGAGACTTGCGATAAGTCTCTCTCTTCCATGAGGACATGTCTCCCTGAGGCAGGGACGCCTCTCTGAGGCAGGGATGTTAGGATGTGGATTCACAGCTCTGCCATCCCTAGGAGGGTCACGGCAAATCTGCTTCTTCTCTCTTGGTTTGAACCCGTGCCCTTGACCGGTATACAGTGCTGCATGGCTGCTTGGGACTCAGCAGTCCCCAGTCTCTCCAGCTGTTTCACACCCGTTTCTCTTTGACCTTCACCTGACCTGGAACTTAATCTGTTCATACTTGAAGAGTTCCTGATGGGAAATACCCCGTGCTGCTGAGAACTGGTTATTCTGCCAGCGACACTAACCTATTTCTCTCCTTTTAAAGTTCTCATCTTTTGTGCATAGTTTTCTTAACCTTTTCCCCCTAGGAAGGGAAAGTAGTTTTAAAATCAGGCGAGGATTTGCAAGAGCTCCGCCAATCCAGCACATCTGACATGGTGCCCTGTTTCTTATTTTTATTTTTCAGTCAGTTTGCTCCCAGGAAAGTCTATTTTTGGACAACAGGTAAAATGAAATTTATGTTTCTTGTGTCTTTCGAGGAACAGTTTGTCATGTGTCCTTTACATTCTCATGTTCATACGTATTGCACATATAAGTGTGTACTTGAATATATGTATGAAGTATGAAAGCACACATATATCAACGGATACACACCTATATATTCACGTATGTGTTACTTGATCTGTTTAAAAAGACTTTGATTTGGGGAAGAAGTTTTCTCAGTTACTTCCAGACAGAGGCTTAGGCATTTTTCACTGAAGTCTCTGTTTTAGGCTCTCCCATGTAATCCCTGAAACCTTGACGTGGGATAAGAGTGGAGACCGTGTGGGCGTGCAGCTTCTCCAGCTTACTGGCCAGGCTGCTGAAAGTGTTTTCAGCCATTTCTTATGTCTTATCACCTTAACTAGCTATGCCAAAAGAAACTGAATTACTCTGATTTTAAATTTCAAATTGTAACAGTCTCCCTGTCTTCCTGAAAGGGCTGAGGTGAAAACTTTATCCGCAATGCCTTCATATTAATCAGTTTGCCTGGCTTAAGCCTTGGGGGGGGGGGGGGGGGGGGGGGGGGGGGGGGGGGGGGTGCTGGAGAAACAGTGTGGAGAATGTCTTGGGGTTAAGGGCAACCCTGTTAAACTTAACCTTTCAGAACTTACCCTTCTGATACAGCTTCAAACCGTCACAGCTATTGAAACGTTCCCATGATTCAATTATGCGGATTCCAGACAAGCGAAGCAAGCGCGTGAGCTGTGCTAGCCACATTTAAGACTAATCAAAATCCGAACTTAATTTAGAAACACAGGATTCGTAAATAAAGCGGCTCTTAATTTGATTGCAAGTGTCAGTATAATGGGTGTCCCTCTAAGTCTGTCCAAAATTGAAGTTGATTAAACACTCGTACTCAGACTTTAAACCGGATATTATGGATAACTAGTAACTACAAGAAAGAAGTCACAGTGTTAGCAGTTGGAAATATTGAGAGAATCACCTCTTTCAGGTGGAATAAAAAAAGATAAAATATGATCGTTCCAGTTTGAGGCACCTGTTTCCCCTTTACAGTAAAACTGAGAGTTCATAACTGACTACCTTGGTGGTGACCTGAGGCATTTCAAAATTTTACACCTGTACCAGACAGAGTATTGACAGTTCACTTCCATGGGAACATATTTCTAAGTCATCTAACCAATTCATTCCCCTATAATATTCCCTAATACTATCCATTGATTCTTAATTGCCCAAGGTATTCACTTTGGATCATATTCAACAGTCTAAGAACTGGTCATATATGTTCCTATAAGAACATGACCTGATAGTCCAAGAAAGAAACATCAAACATCAAATTGAATGTCCCTCCAGGAAAAATAGAATGTATATGGACACTTACTTCTGGAATTCTCATATTTCCAGCTGAGTCCAAGGGATTAATAAATAATTTTATAGTTCTCTTGAAGAAAATCCCAACAACTGTATTTAATTAAATTTCTATCCTCTGTCTACCAGCCTCTTGCATTTCCTTTTCCCTGTGTCCACATTCTTTCCTTTACCGCTCTATCTAACATAGACTAGGGACTACATCCTCACATGCTGCCGTGAATTTGCTCAAACGAACGTTAACATCACACAGGGAAATCCTAACACATGGGATTGGCTTACACACGAGGCATGCTGTGATGTAGTGCACACCCGTTCCGTATAGGGCATTGCAAACCCTTGGACTTTGTGTCGTAAACGTCATCTTTTTCATTCCCAGTAGGCTCCAGGAAGACATTCACATATGCAATGAGACCTATAAGAAAAGACAGCTCTTTCGGTTGGTATGGTTTACTTTTATAAACTGTGTTTTCAGATGATGTGGCAGAATCTGCGTGAAATATAAGTGTTAGCATGCAATATTTCTGTTCATGGGATAGAATCCATTCAATTCTCTTCTTGTAGCATTTGTTACACAATGAGACAGGGAGAATTAGCACTGGGAAGCCATCGCTCTGTGTATTCTCCTCCTGGGGTCTTCCCGGAAGTGTCTTTATGTGGAGGATTCTCCGTTAAAACTCGTTGAACACTTTCAAACCCACTTTGAGAAATTAAGCAGAGTTCAGATTTCTCTGGAAGGCTACCATTATATGTACATTCCCAATTCTGGGAACTAACTAGGTGATAGCTCTACCAGGGATGCTGGTTTTGAAATCACTGCTGTCCATCACAGTATTTCAAACATTATTTTAAGCATCTATTTCATTTCCGAAAGGAAATTGTGAGGTGTCTTTCCATGGTAATGGACTATTTAAACCAAGATCTGCAGAGTGAGGGGAAGGAAGGAATTCTTTTTTGAGTTCTGTTTTAGGCTAACACCTCTTTGAGAGCAGAGGGGCCATCCACATTTTTCACCACGCTCTTACATGTCTGCCTGACATGCTTTATAAGGCCAGTTTTAAACAGCGTTATTAAAAATATTCAGTATCAGGTCCTACCTTATGACCCAAGTTCAATTCCCAGGATCCACATGGTAGAAAGAGAGAACTGACTCCTGTATGTTGTCTTCTGAGCTACACACACAGGACTTGGTACATGCATCTCACACACACACACACATACACACAAAACTATAATAAAACATTTTAAATATTCAGTATCTACTATGTATATACGGATATATTTCTAAATACCAGATTCATCTCTGGTAGAGGAAAGCTTAAACCCCAAACAAACTCTTACTATTTTCAACAAAGAAGAAAAGTGGACTGACTGTGTGTTGGTACAACGCCTTTGGCTAATGGCTTGAATTGAGGTCTTCCTCATTCATGGAGGTTTATTCTTTCACCAGGCATGAGCAAAAAAGAAAGAAAGAAAGAAAGAAAGAAAGAAAGAAAGAAAGAAAGAAAGAAAGAAAGAAAGAAAGAAAGATGAATTCCTCATTTCCTCAGTTCTAACTTTCCTAGGCTGAACATTGACTGCTCTAGCAAGTCCCCCGTGGATCATTAGATATTCCCCTTGCATTTTTGAATGTTTAAGAGAAATGACCTTGAATTTCTCCGTTGGAAACCCAGACCCTGAAATCACATACTCTGTGATATAGATTAGATGCAAGCCTTCAAACAGCTAGTTCCTTTGACACAGCTCCCAAGTCAGTTTATAGTCGAGCTATAGTATAGTTGGGGAAGCAATCCCAGTGTGGAGGCCATCACTTACCCCAGTCACTAAGTCCCGGAGCTCAGGAAACAAAGGTTGTTTTAAAGGTGACTTCGAGTACATATTACCCTAAGTTGGGGAAAATAAAAGTATAATTTTCAGAAATATAGGAAAATGTAAGCAATAATCAAAGAAACAGAACACTATGTATATATTATATATATAATAATAACTATTATGGGACGAGTTACTTGCTATCTATAAAAGGACCAGCTCCAATGACCATTATTTTCCTAGATGTTGGTTGGAAAGAAGCAAGCTGAACTTAAAAAAAGGGAGAGGCATTTGAATAAGTGATTTTCTGTAATATTTATGATTCCATACCAAGTAGATTTGGAATTCATTTTAGGACCCGCCTTGCTAATATTGGGATAATTAGCCAATAGATAGAAAAATAAGAGTTATATTTAAATTTGTGCATATCTAGAAACCACAAATAAATTGTCTATTTAATTTGAATTCTGTTTATGGGATCTCCTAAAAGCAGAAACTTTAAATTTCACACTTTAAAAAATGCATAGCTCCTGGTTTAGGATGTTGAGTTGAGCTGATATCACAGAAGAATATCTTAGGTCACTTTGTGAATGAGGGGATATAGTTAAAGTCTAATGAGCTTGTAGAGTTGTTAGACACAGCTCTACATGCCAAAGGGTGCCAACTACAACCCAGGCAAAACGGAGGTCACTATCTTTTGCAAAGACACTCTTGGCCACACTGGCATTCTTGCAGGTCTAAATGCCTGCCATGGAGGTGCAGAAGTCACAAATAGAAGGGATAAAAGGCGCAAAATTGATGATTGAACAGATAATCACCCCCATCTAGAGGGTTTCTTTCTGCCTCATTCAACATGTTGAGGCTCGGGACCACCCCAGATTGTCAAGTCAATGTTTTTCTGTAAAGAATATTCCTGGTCTTCTGTAGAAGAGGTTATTGTCCAAGTCCTGCTTCATTCAGAGACATTAAGAAATGATTCAGCTGCACTTTGTCAAAGATGGGTCAGCATAGGCAGAATTATACAAGAAAAGAATGACGTTGAACTTGGATGTTGGAAGAAGAAACTGGGCTGGAGAACCGAGCCCTTGGGATGGCAATTCCTCTACAACAGCCTCAATAGTTTTCGTACTTTTCTGAGTGTGTAAATTAAAGGCACCTGGCCACTGGCGATCAACTTTCTTTATATACCAAGTCTCCTCTTCGGTGCCCATTACTTCTGAAATAAGCCATTCCCAAGGTTCTGACAAAAGACATTGAAAGAAAACATTGATGGGGGGGGGGGTGTTTCCATCCACCCTGCCTCATGAAAATGCTTTGTTTTCTTTGATTTCTCTATTCAAACCTTCCCTTGCTTATTAAATCTCCTCTTTGCCTTGCCTTTACTAGGTCTCAAATCCAGTTTCCTTCTTAATCTTCCCAGATACAAATAAAAGTTTCATGAATTGAAACAGGAGCTAAAACTTCGCCGCCACTTCTGCTCATGTGGCTGGAGTATTTCTGTCAGATATCTATACACTCTTCTAGCGTCTCAACGGGACTTTATTGATTTTAAAGGATTGTTTGAAAACAAAGCTTCTGGTCAGGGATTGAGATTTGATTCAAGCATTGATTACATCACATCACACACTGGTGTGTGAAGTCACAATTACACTTATGATCTCTGAGTAGTGCCCTCTTCAGCCATTTATAACCCAGGAGAATTCTAAGGCGCTTTAATGGTGCGCTGTATCCACAGGAAAAAATAAAATGGAAGCTTTGTAAGCATGCACAGTGCTGTTCTTTAAGGAGATTGAAAACCAATGAAACTACAAATTTCCTCAGAAAACACATACACATTTGCATGTTCCTTGAAGGAACTCTGGAGTCCTGGAAATTTAGCTTTAGCTTCCTTATATTGGACGCAGTTGGAATGAATCGTTCTTTCACTTTGAAATTTGCAGTTTCCATTGATATGAGCTTGGCAAATCTCATGCCAAAGTATAGTGCCAGCCCTGCTGTGTTCATAAACTTTCCTACCCAGGAAGGGTAATGAGCTGTCTCCTTAGACTTCCAAGGTTAAACTCGCAGGCAGGGCAGAGTCTTAGTGTGAGTTCATATGGTAATTCCAGGAGTGCTCTTTTGTCAAAATCTTGCTGAACAAAGATATCATACAGAACATAAAGTTGGAAAATGAATTAATAAATAGATTTTCTCCAAGGCCAATTATTTAATGCTAAAAAAGAAAAAAAAAACTTCTTTCCCGGGAATTTATTTTTAGAATTATGTAAGATGATGATTACTTCTGAGCATGAATTCATTATTGATTCAAGTCAGGGTGGAGTACCCACTTTCAGAGAGAGAAGCTAACGATTACATTTGATATCACTTGTCTCCCACCGTGTCTCCTTCACTGGCAGAGGGATATTGGTGTCTCTGGGTTTGGTTTTCCTGTGTATAATGTGTGCCATGTGTCATACGTTATGTGTCTTTGTGTCTGTTGGAGGTTGGGGGGAGGGGTCTGTTTAAAGAGTCAATGGGAAGAGTGTAGAAGACTCTTCTACTAAGGGCCCCTATGCCCACTCACCCCATCATGACACATAACTCTGTCCCCATGAATCTCTCTGATGGCTGTGCAGGGGTAACCGAGACAGCTCGGGAAGGACTTCCGGGAGTCGGCAGAGCAGCTCAGAGACAGAGCTCAGGTGGTCCGACCAGCAGCGGGCCTGGAGCAGCACAGACTCTGACAGCTCCAACCGCAATTTGAAGCCCACCATGACCAAGACAGCAAGTTTTGGGGGCATCACGGTGCTGACCAGGGGTGACAGCATGTCCAGTACCAGGAGTGCTGGGAAACTGTCCAAAACAGGTAGGTATCACTGAATGGGTCCCTGCCCTGGTGCCTCCTGGAGTCTGTGCAGGCCATCTGCTCTCCGTTTCTCTCGACTTTGAATTAACTAATGGCAGGAATATTAACTCCACTCCATTCTAGGAATCAGGAGATGCTATGTAGGTGAGTTATTGTAACTAGCCACAAACTTGAAGGACAACACTAAGCTTCTTCCTTAGTTTCCTTCCTGGTAAAATGTAAGTTATCATAGTACGTTCTTTGAACCCAGTTTACTTACTTAGAGTTTAAACGACATCATTTTTTTAACGGTTATATCACCTTGGCAAATACAGATAAAAACTATAACAAAAATTAGCTACTGCTTTTAAATGCAATGCTACGACACGCTCAATGCAGCTGCCGTGTGAGGCCATTATAACAGTAGTAGACTCAGCAATAGTTCCTCTGTTCCTGGACTGTTATTATTTAAACTATATGTACCTATTTCCTCCTCGGAGGTATATAAATGATAGCATCCCTACATTTAATGGTTATTAGGAAGACAAAAAGCTTCAATACATGCAAAGCAATTTGCGTAACTGGCATGTTGCAAGTGCCATGGGCCCAATCAGTGCTCATTTACAATTATTATGGCCATGGAATATCGTAGCCCTAATTTACAGATGAGGAAGGCCAGTCTCTGGGATGTTTAGTGTTTCCAAACTTCACTGAGAAGTGAAGGTATTTTTTTCATTATGATTTCTGCCTTATTCTTCCTCTGGGGGAATAGTGATATTTTAAGATAGACAATTTATAGGCATGTACAAAGTGCTTAGGAAGTGGTGGTGAGCAACTTAGAAAATTCCTTCAACCACAGCTTTGGAATGATTACAATCACCACGTGCTGTTTCACTCCTGAAGAGCGGACTCTCAGCTGGGAGGTTTGGCTTGATCTGTGAATTGCTGGCTTTGCAAGCACAAGAACTGGAATTCGATCCTTAGACCCAGTAAAAAGTGGGCTGGTGGCATGTTCTGGCAATCTCAGCCGTGGAAAGAAAGAAACAAGTGGGTCCCTGGGTCTCAGTAGCCAGGCAGCCTAGCCTACTTAGTGAGCTCCAGGACCCGGAGGTGCCCTGTGTCCAGAGAATGGTGGGCAGTACCCCAGGAAGAACAGACTCTTACTTACATTCAGAAAAAGAGGCCGTGCGTGTGTGTGTGTGTGTGTGGTGTGTGTGTGTGTGTGTGTGTGTGTGTGTGTGTGGTGGGCACATGGGTGTGCAGGCTCGGGGGTTGGAATAGGCACAGCACTTGAACTGTCCCCGGGACTTGAACTGCGATTCCCAAAGTCCCCGGGTGTCAGGCCTGGGGTACAGGAGTGGATGGAGAAGCCCAGTTGAAGCTTAGACGCTGCTGCCCTGTACTGACTGCTTTTCCATGATCAGGCTGAGCAGAAGAAAAAGAGTGTGCACAAAGTCTGGGTCCCCTATGCTGACAGTTTAGCGCAATTACGTTGTTGACAAATTCCTCCTAAGAAATTATCTCATGTTTTCCTACACAGAAGGCAAATTAATAGCGTTTATTCAGGGATGTTGCTGTATACATACCGCCGTGTTCCTTGGAGAGCGCAGGTGGGTGGGTGCCCTCTTCCTGAGAGCCCTGCTCACTGGCTGTGGAGCTCTTGATTTCGACTCTAATTAATTGCTCTCCTGTCCCACTACCACGGCATCTGAAATCCACACAAGCCACCGCTGTGCACTTGAACTTGTGTAAACTCAGAAAGGTTAAACAGTTTTTGTTCTGAAGATGTAGAAAGCAAGTGCCTTAAATGGTGCACTTCAACATTCCAGCACCCCAAAAGAGCTCTTAATGTTTTAAAATTAATCACCATTTTCCACAAACCAAACCCTGTCACTTCCAAAGCACAGCTCTTCGGAAGCATTTAAGACACTTCAAGAATGTTAAAACACCACGCTCTTTGGAGAACCATTAGTGATTATAAGCGCTTCAGACATTTTTTTTTTCTTTTAGTATAAGTGTCTGCCTTCAAAAGCGTGTCAAGGTGCAGGCATGGAAAGGGAAAAGGTTGTTTTTTTTTTTTTTCTATAAGGAGATCAAGAGAGGATGTCAAAACAATCTTAAAACTTCCCAGGATGATTTTATGAAGTAAACCTGCCAGTTTTGCTGTCATCAGCTTCAGAACACGGTTCTGATTTATTTCCTCGTTGTTGTAGTTGAGCTGAAAGCTTCCGAGGTCTTTCAGAAACCAAATGTGCTTTCCGAAGATGGGACGTTGAGGTTACTCTTCTTGCGTAGGTTCCTGCTCTCTCTAGGTGTCAGGGAGACTCTCTCCATGCCGGAGACATTGTCCCTCATCAGAACCAAGCATGTTACTGAGTGCAAACATGGGGTCACTGGAGGCTGGAGCCCTTTGCCAGAAGCCCAGCACAAGTCTAAGGAGGTTGAGGGTGCTGTCACACTGACCCTGGGGACATTCGTGTGATGGCTTTGTGCTGTAGTCTTCTTCCCTGGGGGTCGACAGTGTGGTTGAGCTTATTAAACACAAACTTCCTTTTGGCCGTGCCCCCCTCCCCCACTGTTGAGCTCCAGAGCGATGTTCTCAACTTCAACACAGTCAGAGACAGAACGACTGGTTATGTCATAGATCGTGCCTCCTCCAAGGTTCATAAGTCAGTAGGCGTCTAGTGGAGTCTGACAATATACCTTCGCAGCAAGGTTCCAGGGAACAGTTGATGCACCCATCTATACTATGAAATGACCTCTCCATAGACATCAGACTTCCTTCCACTTCTACCATTTAGATGGCTGCATGACTTTATTTTCTGGATGTAATTCACTTGTGTTGCTGTCTGACTCCATGCCAACATACAAAAAACTGCTTTCGATGTTTTGATATTAATTTTAATGCCCTACTTTTAATTTTCTAATTCAAATGCAAAAGACTTTAACTTTCCACCACTTCCTCTTCTTTATTTTGGTTACCCCAAGGAACAACCTGGGTATTTTCTTCCTCCTAATAATTTTGGAAGTCTTAGATCACTCTGCTGAGCTCTGACTCCCTGAATCTAGAAATATTTTCTAGAGTTATTAAGTAAGAAATAAGACTCATGTAGCTTGGCATGAGAGAAGAAAAGTGCTGAGTCGTGTGATAGAGAGGGGTCGCTCACTGTGATGAGGCCATCCCTGAGACGTGGTTATTAATTTGTACTAATAGAGATAATGTTCTACCACCCCTTATCCCTTGATTTAAAGTTTTGGGTACAGAACACTATTAGTTAGAACACTATCATTTATTTATTCTTTCCTTTGCAATTTCATACAGATATACAACATACTTTGATAAGCAGCACTAATCTATGATTATAAACACAAATATTTAGAGGGCACAACACCATGTCCATTTAGTAAGACCACACTAGTAGGCTCCCCACTAGAGCCTAAGACTTCCCCCAGTCATCAGCTTTGACCATGTCTGTAGTACCAAGAAGCAATTCCCTCCTGTTGAGTGAACCTCAGATCCAATCAGAAAGTGGTTGGTTACTTTATAGTAATCAGCCCACCATTGCACCTATTGGTAAATCTTGCCAGGTATGTTGGTAGTGTTGCACACAGGATAAAGAACAGTAACTTTGTTGGCATCCTGTATAGCGCCTTCCAACAGTATGAAAAGCTCGCCAGTAGGAAGGGACCCCCCCCAGTTCAGTTCCCGTTTGACTTCTCTATGTTCTGCAGCTAAAGGGTGGGGACATCATCTTTCTTGATGTCTAACTCTTTGTGTTCGTTATTTACATCTAATCATTTCACAGTGTATCAGAACCAGTCTCACGGTGTATGCCGTCCATACATATATCTACTCTAGAGTTTTGGCTTTTACTCTGACCTTAATATGAAGAATGAAGAAAAGGAAGGATGTTTTGATGCATAATACAGTATTTATGAGCCTTGAGCCTTGTTCTAACTACATCAAGGAAGATGTCTACATTTATTTTGCAATTGTATTTGTGAAAAATATCCAAACGGACAGCCTATAAAGGGAAGGATTATAGATCAGGCATTATGTATGTAGAGTTAGGATAAAGGTTTGGGATTGACTAGTGACTACTAAAACCTATTGATTTTCTTTGGGGGAATGAGAATTTCTAAAATGGGCTAGTAGCAGTGTTTGTACTACTTCAGCAATAGAATAAAATACATTTTATTCCACACTATAAAAGATTTTTTTTGGTACATAAAATATATGTCAATAAAGCTGTTATAGTGGACAAATAACCTGGTGGAACTAAAAGAAAATTTTACATTTTATAGTATAATGCTACTGCTTGACCAGTTGGTCATGGTGGAAAAGTTAAGTGTGTGTGTGTGTGTGTGTCTGTCTGTCTGTCTTCATTGAGCAACTAGAGCTCTTCATTCCCTGTGTCCTCCTATTTCTTCTCCTCCTCTTCTTTCTTAACCCTCTTCCTTCTTCTTCCTTTTGTCCTCCTTCTCTTCCCCTCCGATTCTCCTTTCTTCATTCTCCCCCTCCATCTCTTCTTCTTCCTCCTTCTGTCTTCTCTCTGTGTTTTTCCTTCTTCTTTTCTTCCATTTCTTTTATTTCAGGTTTTTAAGCATACTAGCTTCAGTCAGTCTAATATCTCAAAGCACACAAATGTTTCCTGTTTTGTGTAGTGTAAAATTCCAACTGTCAGTTGCTGCCGCTCTAACCCTCCCTTTCCTCTTATAAGATTGCTTTGTGAAAATGGCTCCCACATCTAAGAAAGGCAGCCTGGGGTGTAAAGTAGGAAGAAACTGGGATTTCTCTCTTAAAGGCACAGAAACACTCTAAAAACATGGAGATAAAAAGAAGTCAAAACTTGGTCAAGTATGAAAAACTCTGCCCTCTTGCTCCTACCCAGTCTGGAGGGTTTACAGGAGAGAACTCTGAGGTTGAAGTACAGGCACTTCCTAGAGAGCTAAGGCATATTAGTGCAGACTGGAGCTGAGGCCCCTTCCTTCTGCGCTTTCTTCTTCTGTCTCATACTTCCTAGTCCTGAATTTTGCTTTGCTTTGTAATTTTCCCTTTTCTTCTTCCGGAATCTCTCTGGAGGTTAGACTGAGCCTCTCTTCCAGCTATCCTGGTGTCTTTTGCCTCTTATGCTTCCTGGAAGCCACTATGCACCCCTCTGGGAGTAACTTTGTATTTATCATCTTCTAGAACTTGGCTAAGCTTGGTCAGGGCCCATCACTACCTGGATGCCACTTGAGTGACAGGGGTGAATTTGATCTCTGGCCTGCAGGTTTAGAACTTAGATTGTGTGGGGAGTCAAGTAGCCTGAGCTGGACTCAGATGCTCCCACATGGTTTACAGGCTCTGGAAAACATATCTGACAAATCTAGGACCCATTCTGATCTCCAACACCAGGTTTCTGTGGACATTAGACCACTCACAGTGCAAGCATGGCGCTTGTCACACAAAGACAGTGTTTAGATATTTGCCCTGACTTCCATTAAGCCCCTGGACAAAGGAAGCTGGAAACAGTGTAAAACTCTTGGAACTTGAAACTCTCAATTCTTCCAAGTAGCAATTTCAATATGATTTTATTTATTTATTTATTTATTTATTTATTTATTAAAGATTTCTGTCTCTTCCCCACCGCCTCCTCCCTTTTCCCTCCCCCTCCCCCAATCAAGTCCCCCTCCCTTGTCAGCCCAAAGAGCTATCAGGGTTCCCTGCCCTGTGGGAAGTCCAAGGACCACCCACCTCCATCCAGGTCTAGTAAGGTGAGCATCCAGACTGCCTAGGCTCCCACAAAGCCAATACGTGCAGTAGGATCAACAACCCATTGCCATTGTTCTTGAGTTCTCAGTAGTCCTCATTAAACCTTTGAACGTGGCTCACCCTGTGCTGGTAGCATTTTTGTGAATGTCTCTCTATAGACAAGGACTTCAGTGGCTCAGCTGTACAGATTATTGCTGTACCTGTTCCAGATGACCAAGACTTACAAATGGCCCATGCATACACTAAAGATAACCATCTAACAATCACTGGATTCCTGTCTAATTCTTTACCAGTTTATTTTCTCAAGCCTATGAACAGATGCTTGACAAGGAGCAAGTTAACAAAGCAATGGTTTATTTGAACTCACAATCTGAAGATAAAGTCCATCATGGAAACTAATGTTTCCATAATGTTCAAGGTTGCTCCCAGTCAGAAGATGGAGAAAATGCCAGAATCCAGACGTAGCTCTTTGTCCTCAATTCTCAGTCCTATACCTGCTCTGCCAAGTCATCCCTTTCCCTATAGCAAATGCATTTTATTTTTAAACATAAATTTTTATTTTACTTTTACTACTATTTTTTTTATTTATTTTTACCCATGTGGCTGCAGGTTTAGTTCAGAGCTACAGTTCTTCTGGATTTGCTCTAAAGCATTATAAAATAACTCCCACTCATGTGTTGCTGTGTTCACAAAAGAAACGGTCTGGCTCTCCACTTATATAGGGGATAAATAAGTTCCTATCTGTCCCCTTCAAATTTAGCTGTACAAGGGGCTTGAGGAATACAGCTTCAGAAACATGCATGGGGTAACATGTCCTAGGACCCCCCCCCCAAGTTGACATCTCTTTATCCTCCATCCTGTTCCTCTTTCTTATCAGTCTATCAATCTTACTAAGAGAAGTATTTCACATAGCATTAAATACTTAAGAGATGGGAATTTGCGGGCATAGCTTGACTCCCATTTACCAAGTTATCACCTAGAGCGTACTTGCAAAAGTTGAAGAAATATTTGTTTTTAACACCCCGCCCCCTAGAAAAAAAATGTCATGCCTGAGAAGTGGGAAGCAAAGATTTCCATGAATACAAGCTCAAAATTCCAGATGTGGAATGAATACTGGCTAACCCCATCCTTCCGCACACATCTCAAACTCCTCATGCCCCCTTATGAAGGAATCAACCTTTTAATGTCTGGCTACTGTCTCTCCACTTCTCTGGGTACCAAAGCTCTGTTGCTTCCTATCTTTCTGCCAGGTTCTGAGTCTTCCAGCAGCGCAGGGTCCTCAGGATCGTTGTCCCGCAACCACCCGCCTCTGCAGACCACGGCCCTGACCTCTAGCGTGGCAGCTGGTTCTCCTGGTTGTATGCCCTATTCAGAGAATGGGATGGGGGGCCAGGTCCCTCCCAGCAGTACCAGCTACATCCTGCTTCCACTTGAAACTGCAACTGGTATTCCACCTGGAAGCATCCTTCTTAATCCACACACAGGTCAGTCCTCCCCTCTTCTGCTGGGGACACATGTTATCAAAACTTTGTTCTTCTGTTGGATAACTGAAATTTGCTATCAAGTTTCCTGAAAGATTATTGGGTGGGGCAGATTGTGGGGACTACATTGTGGTGACTTTGGGGGAGATCTGGATGATAGCTGTGTGTGTAAATGCATCAACATTCATAGAGATCAGAGGTTTTCCAAGCTGAGTGATCCTTCTCAAAAGTTCGGGCTGGAGCTGCATGGTAGATCACTTGCCTAAGGCCTTGGGTTTATTTCCCAGCCCTGAAATTAGAGAGGAGGAGGAAGAGGAACAGGAAGAGGAGAGGAGAGGAGAGGAGAGGAGAGGAGAGGAGAGGAGAGGAGAGGAGAGGAGAGGAGAGGAGAGGAGAGGAGAGGAGAGGAGAGGAGAGAGGAGGAAGGAAATGAAGTAGATACCGGGAGGCAGCTGAGGCAGCATTCACTTTTCTTGATCCCTTCTTCTCTGACTATGGAGAGTTCTATCCCATTATGAGGACCTAAAATCAGAGTCAACAGTGTCTGAGCTGGGCTATACCAACCCAAACTTGGGTTTCTCACACCTAATGCTCAGTATTATGTCTGATATAATTTTCACACAAAGGCATCCAGGCATGCAAGGCATCCCATGGATCCACCTCAGCTCCACAATTATAGAAGATTATAGAACTTTCCCCCAGTTCCTGCAGATTTAGAGGAACCCACATGAGCAAAGAGAATAATAACAAGCTATTAAGTAGCTCCTCGTGGGGATAATAGGGCCAGGCTACTTACTGTAGGGCTGGGAAACTGTCCTTCCATAATTATGGTTCATTCCATGATGAATAGCCAGATTCCCTAGGGGGGGGGGGGCAGATAACTTTCACGTTAGGTAAACTGAAGAGAATCCTTAAGGAAGGGTGCCTAGGCCTTCTCCAAGACCTCTTTGCCAATACTCTTTAGGATCTCAAGAGGGAGGAGGACTCTGCTGGCTGAAGCGAACCAGCTTCCCTAAGAAGCAGATGAAAGTCCGGCCACCACATAGAGCTGGGAGTCTAGCATCTTATTAGAGCCATGGAGAGAGAGAGAGAGAGCTGACACACCTAGCATTAAGAGCTTTTTATTTGTGACGGGAAAGAATGGAATTCTCTGGAAAGGAGTTTGAAGTTTAGCTCTGGTATGTAGATTACTTCAGTAATCTAAGCTTGAGAATGCAACAGGCGAACATCTCACAAGAGTGATCTATCTCGCGGGGCCGGCTCACGCGGAGAGTGGTACTGGTAATTAGGATCCCCGGTGCAAAGCGAGAGCTATGGTAAAATAGCTCCCGGGGTAACTGCGTGTCCTTAGGAAGCAGATGGCTCATCCTCAGAGCACGGAATTTGATGGAGACATTCTGAAAGTGCCATATGTATGAGAGAACAGAAAGCATAATCCCTTTATGGAAAAGCTTTTGAAAGGCTCCGACCCGGTACTTCTGAAGAGCCTTTCTGAATGGCTCTGGTTTTATTGGGATTATTGTAGGCTTCATAAAGGAAATTAAAGGACACCAGTATCATATACAGTACTCTGGGTCCTGACTGAAGGATAATCTGATTGTTGGTGTGATAGCTTTTTTGTTGATTGGGTAGAGGGCTTGCAGAAAGGAGCAGCGACAGAACATTCTTTTTTGTGTGTGATGTGTTTAAAGCAGAATTCCAGAGTGTCTTTTAAAAGGCACAATGGTATGTTTTGTAGAGTATTATTAGCAATGATAGCGTGGCTTTGCATGTGTGTGTATTTACGATTATATGCAATCTCATTTATTTAGCAAAGAAATAGAATTCTGCTGGCGCCAAGTCCTGATTCTCATTCATTGGCTGGAGTCACTTAAGGCTGTTATCAAAATGTCTCTTTTTGAAAAGGGCTTTCAAAACTAGAGGGAAGGCGCTGCCGAATGGCTTCTCTACAGGCGTTATTCTGCTCTGACAGACACTAGGCATTGAACTATCCCTCAGGAAAAGACCACGGTTATTGTATTTTATAGTATAGCTGAGTGATGAAAGGGGAGAAATTTTATTTCCTGGCTAGGTAGGTGACTCAGTGGTTAAAGCACTAGGTGTGCAGGACTGGGTATCCCCAGAGCGCCTGTGAATGCCTGGTGAGTGTGGAAGCTTGCCTGTAGTTTGAGGATTGGGAAGGTGGAAACAGGAGATGCCTGAAACACACCAGCTAGCAAGACTAGCCACATTATAGAGCTTTGGGTTCAACTGAGAGGTCTGGTCTCAATGAATAAGGGACAAACGATTGAGGTATACTCCTAACATCAACCTTGACCTCCATAAACATATGTGCTTGTGCTTACACATATGTGAGTATGCACACACACATACACACCTGTGCCCACATGCATGCAAACATAATATGCACAAACCACAGACACATGAAAAACAGTATATCTCTTCTTTCTAGAGTGCCTTTAGTTCCATTGATTTAAAAAAAAAATCTATATGCAGGGATGGAGAGATGGCTCAGTGGTTAGGAGCACAGAGTGCTTTTGAAGACAATCCAAGTTTGGATCCCAGGCCCCCCAGGTCAGGTTCCTCACAAGCATCTGTAAATCCTCCTTTGTGGGATCTGACATCTCTGACTTCTGTGGACACACACACACACATGCATGCACACTCGCGCATGCATGCACACACAAAAACTAATAAAAATTTGATCTTAAAAAGGAAATACAGACATATGTTTAAAGTATATAATATATACTGCACACCTACCAGTGGTGTGTGTATGTGTGCGTGTAAGTTCAGGAGTTACACATACCATGTGATTCTTAAATGACCTCTACTGTAATTTATATCTTCTTGGCTGCAAGCCCATCCTTTACCGCTGTCACCATGGGTGAGGAATCACTCTTCATATCAGGCACACAACACAAATGCTTCCTTGTTAAGCACCAATGGTACCTTATTACCTTGTTTCCCAGGGCCTTGGGCAAGTTCCCTTGTTAGTGCATTTTAAATCACTTTATAAGAAAAGATTGAACTATTAATTAATTAATTTTTGATTCCCTAGAGTGACAGACTTCTAGGTATAAGTACTGGATGGTTACTGGTGAAATAATACCCACCAGGTATCGCATGTATTTATCTAGATAGCACAGACATTTCCTACCCAAAGTCACGTATTTGAGGATGTGCTCCATCTACGAAATTAGAATTGGCTGAGCTTGCAAGATTGGGTCAGTGGGTAAAGGTGCCTGCGGCCGAGCCTGACCATCTGAGTTAGGAAAGAACTGACTCCTACAAGTTATGGCCTTACTCGCTGATACATGTGTGTGTGGTACATGAACATGTGTGTCCCAGTCATGCTTGCTTGGCACACACGCTTACCTACCGAACCCTCTCCAACAGATTTGAATTTTGTCTTGACCGCAGTCTTTGCCATGATCTTCCTTCAGCTGTCCTGGATTCCCTCCTCCTTTGGGTAGTTTCAGCAGAAGTTTCACCGCCATCTAGCAAGACCAACAGGCAGCCATCACTCACGATCTAGCTGATTCCCTGTCTGCTGTATTGTCATGCTGCTGTCTTCATCTTGTGCAAATCCATGACTGTGTAAAGGTGCAATATTTTGGGGGGCGCTCGCTCTGGAGAATCTCTAGGTATGCATCTTTCAGATGCTCCCCCTGGCTTTTACAGTCCTAGAATTTCATCAGGATTCCCAGACTCTGTTTATCCAAAGTGTTTCCACATTGTTCTCAAATGGGCCCTGAAATGTTGGTGCACTGTCTGTCAAGATGTCCTTCAAGGGCTGAGCTCATTTTTGCCTACATGATCTGTCGACATTTGCACACATGGCCTTCTACAGAGCAGGCCAGCAAAAGCCAGCCCATTGCCATTCTATCAGGCATGCTTTGGTTTCGAGAGCTTGGGACGGTGTTATTTCTTATGTGACTTTCCTTGTGTTTGTTTCCTTGTTACTAAGATATTTAGACACTCTTTATAGGGAGGGGGAATTTGTAGTTATGTTTTGTTTTATAACACTCACTGGGGGATGCAAACATGCCCCACTGTGCCTATGGAGGGCAGAAGACAGAGGGAGAGCTGTGGAGTCAGCTCTCTCCCTCTACCATAGGGATTGCTGGGAAGGAACTCAGATCATCAGACTTGGTGGCAAGAATCCTTACCTGCTGAGCCATCTCTTGGCCCTACAGTCGGTTATTTTAAGTCTTTTTTTTATTTTTTTTTTTTGCTGTCCTGCAATAATAACAAAGTGTTCTGCCTTCTGTAATTACCCACTATCACCTATTATTGAAATAAGAGCAGATAAATTGATGCGGACTGTGGAAAACTCATTCAGCTAATATTACATGTTTGAAAGGAATGTGTATTTTTTATCCAGTCCCTGTTTCTTCCCCTGCTTTAAACTAAGGGCACTCGGGCTTCACTCTGACATCAAGCATCCCACCCCCCAACCCGCCCTTGCCCGATGTTCATGCTGTGGCCCACTGAGCCTGCTCCTGAAGCTTCTGCCACAGTCGCTTCGATCAGATGGAAGAAGCTCAGGTCTAGCCGGGTTTTTCTTTCCCTTCAATCGCCTCAGCTGTCACTCAAACTAATTGCTTGTATCAGTGTGATTTTGTGTCTGGATTGGCTGGATTCATCGGACACAGAGGAGTTCTGGTGGCCTGACTTAAAACCAACAGCTGCCGGGCCCAGGTGTCTTGGGAAGTTGCTTTTGTTCTCTTCTCTGGCAACCGCGGTGACTTTCCTGGGCGCTATACCTTTCTCTGGTGAGCATCCAACTGGCGTTTTCCCCCCCTGCCCCTTCCAGACCCACCCATCTCTGTCTAGGGGATCTTTAGGACTCCTGTAGGCAGTTCTTTTGAGTCATCTCTTTCTTTGCACACAGTGTGCTAATCACATTTCAAGCTGAGATTGTAGTTTATCACAAAGTACATCTGAGCATTCGGGGTTCTATTCTAACCAGAATTATAGGTAGACTTTCATTATGCCTCAGACATGGTGGCTAAAAGCTAGGTCATAATTAAAATCAGGGATTCATTCACGTGTGTGCAAGAGAGCTAGTGAGTGTTCACGTATGTGTATTTGTGGGTGAGTGTTTATACAGGTACACATGTTTGTGCAGGTGTAGGCCCATGTATGTGGATGAATGTGTGTTTGTGTGTGTGTGTGTGTGTGTTTCCTATGAGACCATAGGAAAACTGCAGGTGTGTTTTCACAGTGGCTATTCATTTTGATTTTGAAACAGTCATTCATTGCCTGAGGTTCACCTGGTTGGTCTACTGCCCAGGGAGCTCCAGGAATCCTCTTGTCTCCACCTTCTCAGCACTGGGATTACGGAAAACTAGAACACTCAAACTGAAAAGGGCCCATGAGATGTGGGAAATGAGACCTGAAGAGAGGGAGGTGTAATAGAATACATGTACTTTGTAGCTAGAAGGGGGATGAGGGGGATTAGAAGTGTACAGTAGGGATGGAGATAAGAGAGATGGGGAAATCAGTCAAAACTTGATGTGGGATTCCCCTCTGCATGCTGTGAATATTATTGGTTAATAAAGGAACTACTTTGGGCCTATAGCATAGCTATAGGGAAACAGAGCTAGGTGGGGAAAACTAAACTGAATGCTGGGGGGAAAGAAGGAGGAGTTAGAGAGACGCCATGGAGCTTCCACCAGAGACAGACATGCTGAAACTTTGCTGGTAGGCTACGACTTCATGGTGATACAGAGATTAATAGAAATGGGTTAAATTAATATGTAATAGCTAACCATAAGAAGCTAAAGCTAATAGGCCAAGCAATGATTTAATTAATGCAGTTTCTGTGTGATTATTTCGGGGCTAAGTGGTTGGGATCCAATGAGTGACCTCCTCCTTACTATAAAAACTAAGCGTGTAAAAGAAAATGCCATGAGATAAGGAAACTTGTTCACTTACTAAGTAAGTCAATGGCAATGGATAAAGAACCTCAAGTTGTATGCTTGCAGAAGTGCGAGGTGGATTCACTCCATTCCCTTGTTTAGAGTATGCATTTGTGGGACCATAATATTTTTTATTTGAAGCCAAGCAATGGTGGTGTACACCTTTAATCCCAGGACTCAGGACACAGAGGCAGGTAGATTTCTGTGAGTTCTAGGCCAGCCTGGTCTATAGAGCAAGTTCCAGGACAGGCTCCAGTGCTACAAAGAAACCCTGTCTCAGAAATCTAATAATAGTAATAATAACAATAATAATAATAAATTCTTGGTTGCTGTAGACTGAATAGAACGAGTAAAAGCAGAATTGCTTTGGCAGATGGTTTGTGACTGGAGGTGGTCGGAGTGGTGTAAATGGAAAGTAGCTGTTATGGCTCAGAGTATGTTATCTTGCTGATGACTATGAGATGCAGGGGACAAAACATAGGGCTGCATGAAGATTGCCCCTGCACAGCCCTCTCTACTGGGCTCCACTGTCCACAGTTGCCCTTACTTTGGCAAATCTCCTCGAATGAGGTGGATTTATTTGATGCTTCTTAAATTACCACATGTTCACCTGGGCATCCAGTTTAAACTAGTTTGGGCCACAAGAAGTAACCCATTGTCCTTGGAGCAGGGTCCGGGTATTGAATTCCCATTGTTTGAGCTTTTACTTGAGGGTATTTTCAGAGATCTATGAGGGAGCTTTTTTCCTGTAAGGCAAACGGTGAGAGACACTCATCTGAGCCAGGCTCTGTATGGCTTCATTTCAGGTCAGCCCTTTGTGAACCCGGATGGAACTCCTGCAATATACAATCCTCCTGGAAGTCAGCAGACACTGCGTGGCACTGTTGGGGGGCAGCCCCAGCAGCCCCCTCAGCAGCAGCCATCCCCTCAGCCCCAGCAGCAGGTCCAACCATCGCAGCCCCAGATGGCAGGATCATTGGTCTCTCAGGTGAGGAGCTGGCCGGAAGGAGGGAGCAGAAGGGCTGGAAGGTGAGGGCTGCACAGGCTTCAGTCAGCAAATCATCTAGGAGACACGATGTCTTGTGTAGTCTCCCTACCCATCGGGTTTTTAGGGAAAATCTTTCTGAGTATAATCATTGCTTGACACAGTATTATGAGCTCATACCCAGTGCAAGTAAGTGTCTGCTGAGTGAGAGTAGGTACAAGGAAAAACAAATGCAGTTTTTTAGGTCTAAGTGCTGTTTAATGTGAAGCAACAGGTACAATTTATAATCTCTTCTGGGGCTTTGAGTTAATTCATCCCCACCCACCAGATTAAATGCTCACGTCTGTAGAAGCAGTCTCGAGCTTTTCCTCAGTGGGAAGAGCAAAAATCAGCAAGTCTCAAGGTACCTGATTGCTCATCCCTGGGCTCCTGAGAAGTGTGCCCAGACACCACCTTCCCTAGGAAGGCACAATGGAACTCGGTGTGCCAAGCATGCTCCCTGGGCGAGCCTCCTTTTTATCTTCCTACTTCTAAGTTCTTGAGCAGTATCTGTAGGTCCAGAACCTCTAACCAACATCTAGAGCCCATCGCTGACTTTGTAAAAGCATGTTTTCTTGAACTTCCTCTACACCAAGGCCATCTGGCTCTGGCACACACAGCCTTAGGCTTGCCTGTGTGGTCGGTTCTCCTCTCTGCACTGAGTGATCTTAGGGAAACTGCTAAGGACAGCAATATACTTCCCAAGGGATGGAATTGCAGCCCCCCCTCCCCGCCTCCGACACTCTCCTGTTCCCTGATCAGTGTTTCCTTCCTTCCAGTCTGTCCAGGGCCTGCAGCCGTCTTCCCAGTCCGTGCAGTATCCAGCGGTCTCTTTTCCCACCCAGCATCTCCTGCCTGTGTCGCCAACACAACACTTCCCCCTGGTAAAGTATCATACGCATAGCACACGCATGCACACACACTCACACATGCACGAACGTGCACACGCCACACACACATACACACACGACACATACTCACACATGCACGTATGTGCACGCACCACACACATGCTCACACACGGCATTTTCATGAGCTCTACAATGTTCCTGCTCAGCTACAGATGATGCTCCATGCATGGCCTGTGGTGACTATGAAGTTGTTGTATATGTGAAGATGCCTGTGCCTGACTGATAGATAGATCCATCCCTCCAAGAAACTTTCTTTTTTTTTTTTTCTTTTTTCGTGTGTTTTCCCTAAATCAGATGCTTCTGCATTCAGGTACCCCTTTTAAGGTTGACTGAGTAGATGCCTGGGGAAATGACTCGGTCAGCAAAATGCTTGCTCAGCTTTAGGAACTGAGTTCAGATACTCAGGACCCACACTACAAGGTGAGCATGTAGTGAGTACTGTAGACTCAGTGCAGTGGAAACAGAAGTAGGAGGACACTCTGGGCTTCCTAGCCAGCCATGCTAGCCAAACTGGTGAGCTCCAGGTTCAATGACAGACCCTGTCTCAAATCATAAGCTGGAGAAATGTCAGACAAAGACACCCAATATTGACCTCTGACTTCTCATGCATATGTACCCATGTGTACCCATGCCCATATAGACACACATGAACATGGACACACACACAAAGTTGATTGGCTAGGCACACCCATTGTCATTAGAGTCTGATGTCATGAACAAACGAGTGATATAATCTTGCTGTAAAGTTGTCAGAACTATCTAAAACTCTGAGTCAGGGCACTGAGTACTGTAAGCTCCTGCTGTTGTTCCCCTGGGAATCCAGCTCCCTATTTCCTTATACATTTCCCTGACTAGGAGTGGGTCCTTGTGGAAGCAGCACACAGTCCGTAAGCACCAGGTTAGATCCAGGGAACCAACCTTCTGTGAGATGGGTATGTGGATGCCATCCCCGTTCCGGCAGAAGGGCTTGTCTTCTCTCAAGCAGGCAGATCCAGACTTGCCACTGGAGACAAGCTGACAGCCAACCTCTGCCCCTTGCTGCAGAGCCTCCTCTCTGGAGCACGACCCCTAAACGATAAAGAAATAATTTCCTTCTATTGAGGGAACAAGATTTGGGTCAAATTGCTTCCCACCTCCTGACTCTCCAGCTGAGCAAAGCTTGTTTTCTCGTGTTCTTGTTATGTCTGACCGAAGAATTTTTTTATCTCATTTTTTTTTTCAGTATATGCTTCCTCCTTCTTGCTCTGCTCTCAAGTGTGAGTGTGTCTGCCTCAGTTTGCCTTACTCATGACCAGGTTCACCTTCCCTCACAAGCTCTTCACTTCTCTCCCTGTCACAGAGAGAAGAGGTGGCCGCGCAGTTCAGCCAGCTGAGCATGAGCAGGCAGTCCTCCGGAGACACCCCAGAACCTCCCTCGGGCCCAGTCTACCAGGCCTCCCTCATGCCACAACCAGCGCAGCCACCAAGCTACGTCATCACTTCTGCAGGCCAGCAGCTCTCCACAGGGGGCTTCTCGGACTCTGGTCCGCCCATCTCCCAGCAGGTCCTGCAGGCCCCGCCCTCTCCCCAGGGATTTGTACAGCAGCCTGCACCTGCGCAGGTAGGTGTGGGCTTCCCTTCCCTTTTTCGCCACTGATGATTTGTGGCCCTTTGATGTCTGTCACTTGTTCTGCCATCTTGTTCATGCTAATAGTCACCGGCACCGATATGTTTTGTCTGCTTCCCCAGACATGCAGTCCTGGGACCCAGAAAGTGAGTCAAATGAACCTCACCAAGGTTCTAACTGGGAGATGACCCATTTTCCACGTGCTGCTGGCATAGGCCATGGGAAGGATTGACTCGGGTAGGGAGGTGGCTCACTCGGAAGAGCGCTTTATGTACACAGGTGAAGACCTGAGTTCAATCCCCAGAACGCACATTCAAAAGATGGGTGTGGTGAGGCACACTGCAATCCCAGGCCTGCATAGACAGAAACAGGTGTATCCCTGGGGCCTGATGGCTAGCCAGTCTAGCCAAATCAGCCAGTCCCAGACCAGTTAGCAGCCCTATCTCAAAACCTGGGAAATGGCATGTAAAGTTGGCTTCTGGCCTCTGCATGTACACATGTACACACACACACACACGCACAACGTCGGATTATATGTGAGGTTTCCATTGGGGAAGCTGGGAAGGGGATGTCCCGAACCAGGAAACCTGAAATTCTCTCCCTTGCTGCTCAAGACATTTGTTTTCCCTTCTTATCACTTCAAACCACCTTCCTTCTGGATCTAAGCTACAGACAGGCCTGTCTGTGTGAAAACAAAGAACAGGGGAAAACCAATGCCCGCAGTTCTGTCCTCTGCCCCAGGGGAGGAGGAGCCCACCCCGATTGCACAGGTAGCCATTAATCATATTTAATTGACTGGAGCATGGAAGGCACCACAGATCACCGGTTTTTACTGTCTTCTCTAAGACTGATTATGTGTTCCTTGTTCAGCCCCAAACATCTCTGGGGCTCTCCTGGGTATCCCTTGCAGAATATTGGAAGTGATTACTGTCAAGATGGAAAATGCACAGCAGCATTTTCTGGTCCATTTTCGAGGCATGCATTTTCCCAACCAGTTCCCATCCTAATTATGAAGTATAGTCTGGGAGGTGCAGCTTAAAGTGCATGTCACCATGGCGCCGCTGTTCCGCTGCCTTCGCGTCGTGAATAAATTATTGTCTCTTCAAACCACACAAAACCCTACACCAGAAAATGATTTTTTTTCAGTTGTTCATTTTGAGTGATTAATTAATAGTGCATCTCCAGTCACCATCTCAATAATATTTCGTCCCTGGTGGGATTTAAAGTGATCTTTAAAATAATTTAAGTAATAGGAGAAATTATCCCATTAATGTATTAATTATTTTACTAATAAATTAATTATTTCAAGTTTTATTATTGGGAACAAACAGACCCATAGAAACAGATGTAGGTCAAAACCCATAGTGACATCTGATGTACATTTTAAGTCTAGCTAGCCAACTATGCAGCATTGGGAAGAGTCAATCTGTAGATGTATGTCTATGGAAATATGTTCAGTTTCTTCAGAGGACTACCTTTGAATGCTTGTCTCCTCCGGCTTGTGTATGCTTTCTTAATGCCACCAAGAGGAATCATCAGGACTCATGACTGAGGCTAAAAGCCACCTGACTTGGAGACAAGACATAGAAGAAGAACCTGTTGCTCCTGGTTATTTCATCCCATGACTTATTTCTTTCCTATCTTAATCCTATTGGACTCTCTACCCTTAATGTGGTCAGTTCAAAATGTGCGTTTACACCCCTTTAGGTCATCTTTATTCTTTCCTCCCATCAAAGTTTTCATGCTGGTCTTTCAAAGTATTTCTCTGGGCTCAGCTCACTTTCCTTCTCCTTGGATGATTGCCGTGAGAGCATGAAAACCTGGCCTGGGATTACCAACACCTGTAAAAGACAGATGTGGCTAAGCACATCTAAATACCAGAACTGGGGGAGGGCCAATGGCAGAAACAAGCATATCCCTAGACTTTATTGGCCACCCAGTTTAAATAAGTGGTCGACCTCCAGGTTTAGTGAGCAACCCTATGTCAGAAGCAAAGTGGAGGGACTTTCCTTTTGTAAACAAAGTTAAGTAAAATGGCTCAATGGCTAAGGGCAATAACCAGTAACCGCTGTTGGTTCTGCAGCGGACCCAGGTTCAGTTACCAGCAACTACACGGCGTTCCACACCTATTCATAATCCCAGCTCCTCTTCTGATGTCCACAGATAACACACACGAACATAGTGAACATATACACATGCAGGCAAAACACTCGTACACAAAGAGTAAAATAAATAATTTTTAAAAGGAAGAGTTGATGAAGAAGACACCCAACGTCACGCCCTGGTCTTCACATACACATAGGTACTCCCATGCACATGCGTGCGCGCGCACACACATACACACCTTCTACTACCACACCCCCACACAGAGTGGAGGGAGGGAGGAAGGAAGGAAGGAAGGAAGGAAGGAAGGAAGGAAGGAAGGAAGAGAGGGAGAGAGATAATAAGGTTAAATCACCATGAACAATGCATACCATGAGTAACTTGCCAATTGCAGGTCCATCACTGTGGCAGAATAGTTTTATGTTCTTCCAGCCCCTGTTCCTTGGTCATCTATAATACTACAAAGTGAGAATAAAATTCATGTTGATTCCATGACATTGCAGAACCACAGCCGTACCATGTTTTCTTTTCTTCTACCTTGGGGTAAAGGTAGGGACCATATGATACACTCTAGTAGAAAGATGGAAAACTGCTGTAGTATTGACATAAATCAGAAAGTAAAATAGCCATAAATGTCAGAACTATGAAAAAATTGGCTCATAATCTTATTCTCCATACACAGCTTGTAAACTCTTAGGTATGAAATGGTCAGCCACTTTAAGAAAGATGATAAGAGAAAAGCCAGAGACCTGGGAATAGAAGGACATAGCTGAAATCAGTAAGAAAGCAGCATTACGTTGGCATTAATAGGTAGGCAAAGACGTCTTCTGTATCAGGAAACACTTGGTCTCAATGAGAAGATTTAGGATGTTTTCACTGTGTCAGTCATTAAATGGTATACAGAAGAGAAGCAGGCCTAGGGTTACAGACCTATAATCCAGCATCTAGGAAAATGAGGCATTAAAAGTTATGAATTCAAGGTCTCCATACCCATGCTCACACATGTGAACATGTGTGTATACATATGTACTCACAAGATGCCTGGGATATAGCTAGGTGATTGCTAGGGCTTGGTATGCATGAAACCCCAAGTTCAACCCCCACTACGAAAAATAAGTTTACAGAAAATACATACAATATCTTGCCGCAGGTTCCATTTGTTTTACATACCTGCATATTTTTATATAGGCTCTGTGTCAATGACTCTTTGAAGCCTTTACTAGACATCAGGTGGCTCATGACACAGTCATCAAGTGGCCAGGACTCCTCCTAAGAAGCTTATTTCTTTTCCATAAAGACTGAGGGTTGCCAGTCATCGGGAGTCTCTGGCTTCTTTCTGCTGCACGGTAGATATGTGTTTCCCTGGTGACTATATCCTTCCTCCGGCAGCGGGATGGCAAGGCTCCTTCAAGTGCTGGCTTAGGAAGCCCAGACTTCACTTCTGCCTCTTTGCAAAGATCAAAGCAGGTCATGCAAGTTCCTCAGCACCCAGAGCATGAACAGGAGATAGCTCCCATCACGGGAGAAAGAGCCTGCACATTGAAACAGGGGCGAAAGAGGAGGACGGTGGTCCACCTTTACCATCTGCCACAGTTAGATGACACACAGTTCTCATCTCTGCTTCTCTCTTGCCATGTCCCACAGATGCCCGTATATTACTATCCATCTGGTCAGTACCCTACCTCAACCACACAGCAGTACCGGCCCCTGGCCTCAGTCCAGTACAGTGCTCAGCGGAGTCAACAAATACCCCAGACAGCACAGCAAGCAGGTATGTGAAGCCAGTTTTCTTTCTGTGCTCCGGCTTGGTTCGTTCTGATGGTGAATCTCATACATGTACTCAGCGGATGAGTACCCAAAAGAGACAATTTAAGTCTCACATTTTCCCTATCCAGGGAAGCTAACAAGGCATTTGATAAACTGTGTGGGAAATTTACAGGTAAGGGGAGGAGACGAGGTGTGTACCGGGCCTATGCATGTGCAGTTGTTCCCCACAAGCTATTTTTACAGCCTCTGGGTTTATTTGAAAGATAGGAGACCAGCATGTCCTATCTTTCCAGCCTGTACGGTCTTGCTTTTTCAAAGAGAGCATTTCCCACGAGTTCTCAAGGAGTCAAATGAGGGTGTTTTGACACCGGCCTAAGCCTCCGCACGGCCTTTAGAAGAAGGCTCCTGACTATGCAGCGTGCACTGATGATGACCACACCCCTTCCACCCAGAGCGCGGCAGACTCTGTGCAGCAGGAAGGGGGGCCGATGCACTGTAAGAGAGTGAGTAGTAGGTCTCACAGTGAACCGGTCTCTTTCCCTGCTGTGTCCCGTGCCAAAGAGAGCCAGCACAGGCACCCGCCCAGCAGGGCTGAGGGGATTGCCGCGAGGCAGAATTCTGGGTCTTCCTGCGGACCGCCCTGCAGGGGGGAACTGCTAATTGTCATGCTGAAGATGCCTGGCGGGAGACACTGCCTCTGTAAGTAGGTCATGCTGAAGAGCAGGGCTCCTGCTGCGGCTCTTCCTGAATCCCTGCTCTGAGATCTGATATCTGCGCTGGGTAAATGGGTAGATAAACAGATAATACATACCGATAACATGTGGGTGACATGGATAAGATATGTGCCGTTTTTTATAAACTAGAAAAAAAAGAAAAAAAAACTCACAATCCTTGCCAAGGATCAGTCACAAGCACAAACATCCCAAGATCCCCAAGGCCGATGTTGCTACAGCTTTGCCAGATCCAGATCCAGATCGGAGACAGAATTCAGTGCTTTTACACCTTGGATGGTTACATGTTCTTAAAGTTCAAATTATGACCTAGTTAAAGTCTTTGAGGAGAAATTAGAGCAACCTACAACCGCCAGGTTTTGTTTAAATGCTATATTCCTTTGGGACCCCTGAGCAGCCTTTGTACTTCTAAAGAAGTGAAAAAGCAAAGGGTTTGAAGTTGTTTTTAAAGGATACCCTTGGACCATGCATTTTGCAATTGCCAGGAAATCTCCAGCATCCTCTAGGGACTGTGTTGTCTGTCCTGCTCAAGCCTGCAGGATAGCACATTTGCATACCAAACTCTCCCATCTTTATCTGTGAATGTTTATAACTATAATTATGATTTTTAGGGCTGTGAGAAAGTGCAGATGTTAAAATGCTTGCCACGTGAGCATAAAGACCCGAATTTGAGTCCCAGAACCCAGGTCAGAAGTTTCAAAAGGAGTGTGATGGCTTGAGTTTGTAATCCCAGCCCAGGAGAGGCAGAGACAAGGGGACCCTGGAGGCTAAGGGGCCAGCCAGGGTAGTCTACTTAACAAACACAGAGCCAGCGAGAGGCCCTGTCTCAAGCGCCAAGGTGTATGGCACTGAGGAGTGAGATGTTTTCTTGCCTCCACACGGGCATTGCCCTCCACACCACCCTTGCCTTCGCGTGAAAACACATATTCACACACAGTTATCATGTAATCTTCCAGACCTCAGTTCCCACGGTACCAGAGAAAAGTTTGCCTCTGTTTGGGTCAGGGTTGTATTTGGAGACGGCACAATGCAGGTCATTAATTCTACTGATCTCATGTTTCTCTCACAGAGTGTCGGTGTGTGACTTTCAGAATTCTAAAGAATTATATTAGTCCCATGATAGGGTGTCATGGAAGGATGGAATGTGGCCACAACTGTGTTGCAGTCTCCTAAATACAGGGCTTGGGTCTGTGTCCAGGTCTCAGGGAGTCAGGTGCTGTGTTAACTGGGCCCCAGAATTAGGTTTATCACAGTCACTGGTCACCCCTTGGCTGTGTCTCCTCTCCATTGTCTGTTCTGATGACTAACAGCATATGAGGAAGTAGCTGCATCATTTTCATTTCTTTATAAGGCATCGTGGCAATATTGAAAGACGTGGAAATTCCCTCCTGTTCCCCTGGAGGATACAAGTAGATGGTCTCAATCACGTGACTTGGTAACCTGGTGTCTGACTCGTCCCAGGTTTCATATAGCACCATAGATTCGCCATCTCTAAAGAGAGATGGTGACCGGTGACCCAGTATAATGAAGAGCAAATCCTAAGGATGGTTCATGTTCAGAGTGCTGACAGGCAGATTCCAGGGCCTGGGTGACAGGAATTGTGGTCTGAGAGGGAGAGGAAAGGAAAGGGAAAGGATTCACGAATGACATGGTCCCCAGATGCGCCACCACCAGCACATAGATGCAGACCAAGACCTTTGCGCCCCTAGGTTTGATGGCTGCCCCTGACACCTGGTCTACCACCCCAGCAGAACTTTCTACAAGGTTGATTTTACTGTGGATTGGTGGCAGATGTTATCTTAGACTCACAGAGACTCCTGTGCTGATAAAATCCAAGTGGCTAGCCTCCCACAGCTGTTCTGTGATTAAGCATGCGTGTTCTATATTCCATAGGTCAGAAGACCTTTGCTGAGTCTAGTGAAGCCAGCAGAGTTTGCACGTGCCGTGACTGGCTTATTTGTGGGAACAATTCTCTTATTTAGACTGAGTACATTTAGACTAGCAGTTCTCAACCTGTGGGTCTCAGCCACTTTTGGGGGGTTTGAATGACCCTTTCTCGGGGATCACATATCAGATACCTTGCTTATCAGATATTTATATTACAGTTCCTAACAGTAGCAAAATTACAGCCACAAAGTAGCAATGGAACAATTTATAGTTTTATGGTTGGGGGCCACCACAACATGAGGAACTGTATTAAAGGGTCCCAGCATCAGGAAGGTTGAGAACCACTGCTTTAGATGATTTGTGACAGCCGTGTTTTCCAGAGGAGCTGTGCAATGCCACCCCACCCTCATCCCCTACTCCATTCCACCTTCATCCCCCACTCCACCCCCACCGTCTTTAAGGACAACTCAACTCTGACCCAGTGTCTACAGACATGCTCTGTCCCACTCTTCCTCCTGTCTCTGGACTGTCACATAATGGAACACTTTAGTCCATTAAAGCCAGGGAGCTGTCTCCCTATTCTGCTTCCGGATACTCCCTGTCACTCATATTTAATAGTAATAAAAAGCATCTCTCTCTCTCTCTCTCTCTCTCTCTCTCTCTCTCTCTCTCTCTCTCTCTCCTACATTTTTGGCAGAGTTGATCCCCTGACAGTTGCTATGTCTTTCCTAGTCCTTAAAAACTCCACATGCTAATTTATTTTATCATTCTTTTCCCATTATGCATATATGTACGTGTATGTGTTATATATGCATGCGTTTGTCTATGCACTATGATTTATATAGACAAACTAGTGTCTAGGTGGGCGTGGCAAGCAGTGACTCCAGTCTGGTGCTGGGACTACTTCATCACTCTTCTGCCTTATTCTTAGACATGGCTGGCTACTCTTCCCAGTCAGCATCCTTTGAACTCCACCTTCAAATGCTGAAATTGCAGGCAGGCCACCATGCCTGTCTGGCATTTACTGGGGAGCTGGGGAACAGAACTCTGGCTCCCAGGCTGCCCAGCAGGTGTTTCCCTCCCTAAGTTATCACCCCAACACAGATAGCGAATTCTTATAAAAAGAACTGGAGTCCTTACAACTGGCTGAGCAGGACCCTGAGTGCGCTGATATTAGTCACACTGGGGACAAGATTCTTTCTCTGGGGGAGGGAAACAACATACCCACAGCTACATCGCCAAAGAAGAGAGAACTTGCCTCTTTCCGCTGTGAACTGCTCATAGCTCCATCACTGTATGTGGGCCCCATCCGTGCTGCCAGACAGCCATGGCTGCTGTGAGCTGACGTGTTCATCGGCCATGTCATGACAACAGACCAGCATTTCTCAGCTCTCTGCCTCAATCATTAGCACTCACATCTCCCCCTCCCCCTTTCACAGTGTTCCCGGAGCCTTGGGTGGGAAGTATTGATAGATGTGATTGGTCTGCAGCTGAGTCCTCGGTGGCTTCCTCTCAAAAAGAAACTTACGTGACAGAACTTGAGAGGAACACAGATCCATGGGCATAAACATAAATATTGAGATGGTAGTCAGACAGAATGGACATTTAGCAAAACAGCAAGTCTCTTGTTGGCTTCTACACACTGTTGTTTAACAGCGATAATATCCTCCAGGGTTAGATAAAACAACAACAGGCAGTCCACCATTCTGCCACCTGGCAGACCAAGAAAGCCTGCGTTCTTGCGTACCACGAAACTGAGGATTTTCTGGTTGCAGAGCAGAGAGAGAAAATACCCTGAGCAATTCCTAGATTGTGTTATAACTGCTGCAGGTGATTCCCCTTGGATCTTGACAGCTATGGAAGCGACTCATTTTTTCGGGTTTATTTTTATTATTTTTATTTATCTCTGTGGAGTATGTCACATGTGAGTGCAGCCATCCGTGGAGGTCAGAAAGGGGTGTTACTGTGAGCTTCCTGGTGTGAGTTCTGGGCACTGACCCTGTGTTATCTATAAAAGCAATATGTGTTTTTAACCACTGAGCTTTCTCCCTGTGGGAGATATTTCCTGTCTGGTTTCTGTTTTGTTTTTATACAGGGTCTCACAAATCTCCACTCTCCACCTCATTCATTGGCTCTTAGATCTTCTCGCACCCCACCTTCCAGGGTTGTCCCCGATCCTTGGATGGGAAGTATTGATAGACTTTATTCACAGCCTAGTCTGATCCCAAACTCACTCTAAAACCCAAAGATGATCATAAATTCCAGATCCTCGTGTCCCCACCTCCCAGATGCTGGGATTCTAGGCTTGAGTCATCACACCTGCTCTTACCTCTGTTCTAGAAAGTCCTTTGCCCTGTGCACTTTCCTTATTGCCAGCTGTTTGCTG